TTCTTAAATATTGATTCCAAAAGAGACGAGACAGGATTTTCGGTGATTCCACTGGCATAGGGGAATGGTTAGGGCTACTAGTTCTCTTCATTGATAAAGCTGGCATAAAGCCATCTGGGAAATGAATGGGCAGACCTTGCTCCAGTCTGTTCTAACCTCATTGTCTTCTAAGAAGCAAGTTGATCGTTATCTTTTCTCTGTCTGCTTGATTGTTTGTAGCTACCCAGCTCTCAAAATGGCCCACTGCATATTATTGAGAGTTTCTCCTTCTTTGTTACGACCAATCGAGCAATAGTCAAACTCAGAAAGGGGACTTGGGATAAGTCATTTGTAACTGTGAAGTTTTGGGAGATAGCTTGAGAGACAAGTTCTAGGACCAACATGGGAAAATCACCAGGAATCCCAGACTAAATTGTTTCTATTCTCAAACCATGCCATCTGTCAGCAACTGAATGTTAAACTGTGTGTATATGGGCCAATGTCTTGCAACTAGAGTTGAAACGTTAGTGTGTATGAGATTTGCTCACTGGTTAGATTGAATTTTTTCAGGTTTAAAGAAATCTATGCAATAAGTTTTCACCCTATGAGCGAGTCTACTCTACAGACTCACTACTCTCTAAGTTATACCTTAGTAAAGAGAGAAAAAGTCATACTGCTACAGTCATGCAATGATGACATTTCTCCAGCACCCCACTCCCTAAAAAATCCCATCTCATTCACAGGTCGAACAGTAAGATACCTGCTCTTCCTGACTCAGAAATATAAACAACACTTGACACTAATGTTCATTTTCCCTGCGCTGCTGTCACAGCTTATTGCTCCTATTTGATGGTAGGAAGACCACTGCTTTGACTTATTCTGTTGCTTACGTGACAAAGGCTAACCCCAAGGTCAGTGGCTGGGTATCATTCATCATGTTGCCAATACATCTGCCATGATTGATGTGGACGACACACTGCAGGGTCCCTGACTTCTGTTGCTGTCGCAGTGTTGCCTCTCAGCCACACCGGGACTAGAGCTTCCAGGACTGTGCCATCTCATCTCATACGGGTCCTCTAACTACGGTGGCTCAAGAACTGGCTGGCTTCCACGAAGCAACGGGGAACCAGGGAGTGCTGGTCTAACATTCTTGCTGAATCAAAAAGTGTGCTGACCTGTGTATGACCTGGGCAAGCACCTAAACTGAGTTGTAATCCTTTGCTTGAGTGTCAACATGGATGATTTTTACCAAATTCCATAGCCCTAATATATAAACGCATCCCAAACATTAAATCCTGGGTGATATGATTAAGCCCGTTAAAATAACCTTGAATTTTTGGCAAAGTTAGCCATTGATCAGTGAATTTTTATCACTAAAGGAAAAGAAAAAGGAGTAACCCCCCTTGTTCTTGAAGATAATATGCAATCTCAGAGACATGATTAAAATCCTAATCCTAGGTCAATAAACAGAACACTCTTGATTTTTCAAGCTTCCCCTCGCGGCAAACCCGACCAGTCCAACACGGGCAGAAGCACTGAAGTCGATTATGGGGAAAATGCATCTGGACTGTGTGTACACTTCCTCTTCACCGTCTTCGTTTAATCAATAGCACACTGAGTCTCCAGCTTCTATTGAATTAGGTTTACAAAGCTTTTTTGTTCTCACCTGTCGCTAAGAAAAATCATTCATGGCATCCTGGATCTGAACGAGCGGAGACTGCATGAATCAAAAAGGTAAAAAACATTCCCTCCCCAGGGAGGCCGCCAGCTGTCTCATTGATTCAGCGCTGCTCTTGGCGGATTCGAGGCTACTCTGGCACCAGTTCCAAAGAGCGCCGTGTAATAAGGTCCACAATGCAAACTGTTACCAGGGAGAGACAGAACATCTGGTCTGGAACAAAGGCAGAGTCCACCGCGAAGCAGCAGCCTGGCCATCCGCATCCAGGCGTGAATATGTGGGGGCCTGTCACCTGAAAGAGGGGTCCCTGAAGCCACACAAGTGAAGATAATGTAGAAACCACATGGAAAAAGAAACCCTGGGAGATGTAACACGTTATTTTCCCATCATTTTTGTCTACATGGGAAAGGATACTATTAACTAGGATACTGTATCTATTTGGGGGGGGGGGGGATGCTCTATTTTTTAATGCAACCAACAACGATTAAAATTGAAATTTTTAAAAAGCAGAAATCAGTGTATCGGGGCCTTTATTCTCTGCGTGTGCGTGCGCATGCGTGTGTGCTTAATGGCTGAAAGCTTCCCTTGGCATCCTGCTGTTATAAGCAGAGCTAATGATTGGCCTGTGTTCTGTAGAAATATTTTCACTGCCAAGGAGCTATTGATGTGGGCAGTGAATCTAAGGACAGTGAGGAGGAGGAGCATGCTCAGTGCCTACCATGTGCCTTCTCCCAAGCTGGGCACCTACACTGGGCACTTTATAGAGTCTTAGGTTGTCCAGGTGGCTTTAGATGCTATTGTTGTTTTTGTTGCTTTAAGTATTAAACAACGCCTTCAGAAAAGAAGAATTTGATTTCCAACTGCTTTAAAATCCAGATTGGAAAAAAAAAAATAGGCTCACCCTGTTGACAAAGCCCCTGTCAGAGTGAGTTGAGAGTCATTATACTCTACATAAGGTTTGTGTACTTCATTCCTTTCCAAAGCCATCTGTCTGAATTTAATTCACTGATAATTTTATCAGTCTCCCCATGCTTTGCCTGAAACCTCTCCGTTGCATTTTTTATTCTTCACAGATGTTAACTCTTTGAATGACAGTTTGAACGCATGTAGAATGTTGATGAAGATCCACGTTCTCTCGGAAGGCTCGGCCTCATCCGCAGCAGCCTTCCCCAACCGCCCCAACCGCCCAGCAGCGCCTGCACGGTGCTTCCGCAGAAGTTCTGCTTCTCGGGGGAAACCAGCCCAGGTGGGAAACTGCATCCAGGACGTGGCTAAAGAAGCCCCCTGCAGTGGCACATGCCAGGCACACGCAATACCTCTCATTTAAGATGCCTCTTGGAAACTGGAAATCAGAATATATTTTCCAGGGACAATTCCAACCTTCCTTCCTACCTAATTGGTGCATATGATGTTATCTTTAAGAAAAGCGGACTGTCAAAAGATACTATATATATATTTAAAAATTAACTGTTTGAAGGAATATCTTTTTTAAAAAAAAAAGCCACTTAAATGCACTTCTAGGTAGTGTATATGTAGATTATCTCATATTATCAAATCATTTTGAGAACAGTCTATTATTACGTCCAGAGTAATTCAGGCTAAAGTTCTTTTTTTTTTTTTTACCATTGTCTATTCACTGTGGACATTTTTTTAATTAAACTTACTGTGGTGACACTGGTTAAAATTATACAGGTTTCAAGTGTACATTTCTATGACACATTATCTGTATATTGCATTGTGTACCCACCACCCAAAGTCAAATCACTTTCTATCACCATGTATTTGACCCCCTTTACCCTTTTTAAAACTTTTTTTTTCTTTATTGATTTTAGGGAGAGGGAGAAAGAAATAGAAACATCGATGAGAGAGAACATCCATTGGCTGCCTCCTGCATGCCCCCTACTGGGTACCTGGCCCACGACCTGGGCATGTGCCCTGACCAGGAATTGAACCAGTGACCTCCTGGTGCATGGGTTGATGCTCAACTACTGAGCCACACGGGCCGGGCCCCCTTTACCCTTTAAAACTCCCCAACCACTATATTGTTGTCTGTGTCTATGAGTTTTTGTTTGTTTGGTTTGGTTTTTTGTTTGTGTGTTTGTTTAATATGTTTTTATTGATTTTTTATTTTTATTTATTTTTTTCTCCAATTTTTATTAATTTATTTTTGTTACAGATGATTCTCCTTTTTCCCTGTTAGATCCCCTCCTCCCCATCCTGCCTCCCCCGCCCCCCAGCATTGTTGTCTATGTCCATTGATTATGCATACATGCATATAAATTCTTGGTTTTAGTTTAGTGTCCTTCAATGGGAGATTGGACAAAGAAGATGTGGTATACAATGGAATACTACTTAGAGATAAGAGAAGATGAAATACTGCCATTTGCAACAACATGGATGGATCTTGAGAATACCACACTAAAAAAAAGTCAGAGAAAAAATTAAGAACCACATGATTTCATTCATATGTGAGATATAAACGAGATTTTTTTTTTAAGTTGATTTTACATCCTGCTTTTCATTTTGCCCAATCGGTATTTCTAAGCATCTTCATGGAACAAGGGATGATGCTGGGCACTGTGGGAGATGGGCAGGGAGGCTCACAAAACACTGACCCCCCCTCCCCAGGAGCGGGGAACCTCATCGGGAAGGTGGGACACAAAGCAGACTGTGACCGTACCGAGTGCTGCACTAGCAGAGCCGGAGAGGAGTTTATTTCACCAGACACATGTGTGCAGACTTCACAGAAGAGACAGATTTTCACTTGGGCCCTGAAACCGGGGTAGGACTTTGAGGAGCAGAGAATGCGAAGGCCTTCAGGCACAGGGAACTGCATTCGGAAGAGCGTGACATGAGGAAACACAGAGGGCACCCGTCTGGTTGGATCGGGGCACATGTGAGGCTCAGTTCAGGATGTAAGATGGAGCCATGAGGTGGACATGGAAAGATGCCATTGGTGCCGAAGGTGTCTGAGCAAGAACAACGTGAACTGCACTTTGAAAGACAATGGCAGTCTCTGTAGGATGCATTAGGAAGGAAGATAGTAAAGACAGGAAATAATTGGAAGTGGCATAAGGGGGTCCTGAATGAAGGCAGGTGCAGTAGGAGTAAAATCTGAAAAATTTGTTCATACAGTCCAACCAAACAGATGGGTGAAACATACTCAAATCAAAGGAAAAACTCAGGTAGACTGAGCAAAGCAACCTGACTGACGTGCTTTGCAGATTTGCCTCTTTCTAAGTTAACTGTTGGTCTCCCAGGAGTCACCACAATTCCCTAAAGGAAGCTCAACAGCCCTTTATGGAAGTGTCTTCCTCATAGTTGTGTTTATCCCCCCAACCCCCGGGGGTACACCTTTCCTGGAAGTATGAAAATACCAGCTCAATGCATTGAGTGTGCAAAACAAACTTATTTTCCATCTCCCTGATCCAAAAACCTATTTCACGTATTATCCTTGTATAGAAGGTATCAGATATTAAACTGATAAGAACAGATAGGACATTTGATATTAGCCAAAAGGCCAAGAAGCAACTGTGATTGTATTTTCACTATTAATTTTGCACTGATATCGTCTTCAGGGCAGCCAGAATGTTCCTGACCGCCTTTGTGTTTATAGGCCCGGAGCTCTCCCTGGAGAACGCTGGTCTGAAAGCCCAGTCTATGCATGGACAGGATAAAGGCCAAGACACTGGCGTCGACTCCACGGTGGCCCAGGTCTGGGGCGTGATAGGCAGAAATGACGGGAGAACATGAGTAGTGCCTTAATGAAAATAATGTTAAGTGTCCAAAATTAAGAATAAAAATGTATTGCTTAAAATTAGAGGTGATGATAACTATTACTGATCCTGTGAAGGACAATGCAGTACATGAACTAAAGACACAAATCTTCTCGGGACATGATTTGTGTTCATTTCCACTAGCCTAGAGAATTATCTGTGGCACTGCACTAGGTCCCCAGCCTAGAAAAACTGCATGTAGAAAGTGTGTAAATACTTTCCAAGGGGAGAATTTGGCTTAATGAGGCGTGGTTGGGACTAGCTTACTGTTCATCAAAACCCACTCTCTTTTCTTCCTGAGTACATAGCCAAACTGTGTTTCCCAGTCTCGCTGTTGTTAGGTGGGATTCCATCACTCACTTCTGCGCATCTGAATGTGTTTGCCAGTGAGGTCCTCCACTTACCACCCTGCGCAGCCTCCAGCTTAGAGTCAGACAGACTTAGATCTTTGTTTCAGCTGTCACTTCATCAGTAAAATCTTTAGCAAGTTGCTTAATCTCTTCGAGCCTCAGTTTCCTTATAAGTAAAACAGGAAAGAATAGGGCTGCTGAGAGCATTGAATAAAACAACATGCATGGAAACCTTTTTGCACAGTGCTTGGCACTAGAAAGCATATGATAGACAATAGCTGTTATTTTCATTGGTAGAGAGAAGGCATCATTTGTATGGTCATATTACCCAGCATGAAAAAGGCCTTGGAGAAGGGGATAAGAAGGTAAATCTAGCAGAAATGTTCATCTCTAGTATTTTCTAGAGAAGAAAACTGCATTTTCAGCTTCATAGATTATCAAAGAATTACCTCTGATTAAAAGAATACCTCATTTCTCTCAAGGTATGCTGGAGAAGCCTAAGATTTAGAGTTGAGATTCAAGTTCCAGTACTTAGACTTCTGCCTCTGGCCATGATGGAATGGCGGCTATGGGAACGACACTCCCGTTGCAAGCTATAAAGCTGCACAAAATACGTCAGGCAGTTGTTGTCAAGCACTGGACTGCACTTGTTCAGCAGCCCAGAGAATGGCTGCTGGGAAGGGATTTCTGAATGCCGATACCAGAGAGGGTAAAGTGCTGAGTAACTTTGGAGTTCTAGCCAGTCCGAGTGCAATAAAAAGACTTCAACCTGTACTGGGGGCATTTAGCTAAGACCCCAGGAAGGCTACACATTGAAATAAGAACAAGGCCCCAAATAAGGTGCAAGCTCTAGGACTGGGAGGTGGGGGGGACGACTGAAATAGACCCTTTCTAACAACAACTAAAACATCTGCAGTAGGGTTTGTCCACTTTAGCACGATTGAAATCGTTGTAGGGTGCTTTTCTTGTAGATTGTGATCTGGTTAGCAGCATTCCTATCCTCTGCTGACTGTGTGCCATCACCACCCCCAGGTTGTGACCGTCAAAAATATCTCCATATGTTGCCAAATGTCTCCTGGGCATCGGAGGAGCAAAATTATGCCTGGTGAAAACCACCACTCTACAAGATCTCAATAATCACCATGAATAAACTTTCAGAAACAAACAAACAAAACAAAGACAAAAACACCTCACCATTCTTTAAAGAAAATGTCATAATCCATAAATCATGTCTTATCCATAATACCCCGTATGTATTTTTAGAAATATGTTATTTTATTTGTTATACCTGCAAATAAGCAAAAAAAAAAAAAAAAGTATGACTTAAAGTCAAAAGAAAAAATAGTTAATAAAAAGTAGTCCCCAAGGATGATGCAGGTGTGGGACTTATCAGAGAAGTAGTCTTATACACTGTTATAAACATGATAAAAGATTTAAAGGAAATGATGGATAGAAAAAGTCAACATGTAGAGAATATTAGTGAAAACTACAGAAAAAGAACCAAATGGAAATTCAAAAACTAAAAAGTATAAAAGATAAAATAAAAAACTCAATGGATGGGCTTAAGAGAAAATCAGACAATGGAAACAAAAAAATCAGTGAGCTTAAAAATAAGTCAACAGAAATTACCCACACTGAAAAACAAAGATAAAAATTATATAAAAAAATGAACAGCAGCCCTGACCGGTTTGGCTCAGCGGTTAGAGCGTCAGCCTGGGGTCCAGAGAGACCCGGGTTCGGTTCCCGCTAAGGGCATGTACCTCGGTTGCAGTTTGTCCCCGGCCCTGGTTGGGTTGTGCGGTGGCAGCCACTCAATGTGTCCCTTTCACGTTGATGTTTATCTCTCTCTCTCTCTCTCTCTCTCTCGCTCCCACTCTACCTGAACAAAAAATGGAAAAATGTCCGCGGGTGAGGATTAAAAAATAAATGAACAGCAGCCTGGCTGGTGTGGCTCAGTGGCTGAGTGTCAACCCATGCACCAAGAGGTTGCTGGTTCGATTCCCGGTCAGGGCACATGCCCAGGTTGTGGGTCCAATCCCCAGTGGGGGGCATGCAGGAGGCGGCCAATAGATGTTCTCTCTCATTGATGTTTCTGCCTCTCCCTCTCTCTTCTCTCTCTCTAGAATCAATAAAGAAAAAAGGAACAGCACGTTGGTGTCCTGTGGTTCTGTAGGAAGATGTTTGACAGACATACAGTTAGAGTCTCACAAGAATAGGAGAGAGATTGGGGCACAAAAAATACTTAATGATATAATGGTTTCAATTTTCCCAAACTTGGCGTTAAACATCAACCCACAGATCAAAGAAGCTGAGCAAACCAAAAAGAGAACAAATACAAAGAAGAGCATACCTGGGCACTTGAGAGTAAAACAGTTGAACACCAAAAATGAAGAAATATTTTAATAACAGCCTAAAGGAAAAAACTGTCACACAAAGGAGAAGAATAATAGGGAAATCTCTGACTTCTCATCAAAAACCATAGTGGCCAGGAGACAATGAGACAGATCTTTAAAGTGCTAGAACAAGGGACTTCTGCTTCCAGCCAAGAGAGTAACAAATAATCTAAAATGACAAAAAGGGCAAAAACAAAATACAGGAAACAATGGTTTTCAAGACATTGGACATCAGTCAACAAAAAACAGTGACCCCTGAGAGACAGCAAATAAATAAGGTGAGCCTCATGATTGCCGCAGCTTTTTGGCTTGAGCTTTTCCGGGCTCCTAGCAGGGAGGGAGGAACCAGGCAGAGCCCATCAGACTCTCTGAGCTGAGAATATGAAGCTTCGGGTTCAGGGAAATCAAGGCAGACAGTGTTTGCAGGACAGAGTACAGTAAGGAGAGATATGCACATGGAAAGCAGATCTGCACGGGGAAGCATGGAAATCTCCAGAGAATATCCCTCAAGTATTCATCACATTCATTTGAGAAAACTACCAAAGACCAGTGAATTAAAGGGAAGAGTACCCAGTGGTCACACAGGACAAGAATTGGTGCCCATTATCACCAACCAAACTGGAAAACCACATTTTTCATAAAGCATTGGGTAGAATATTTAGAAGGGTTATGAATTAGACATGAGGAATAATTATCCCTAGACCAAAGGGTGGTCTGGCCATATCTACCAAATTGTAAAAGCCAGACCCGAAAGTTCCACAATGTTTCCAAGTCACTTGACTGCATCACAGAAACAACCACAAAAATATGTATAGGAATAAAAAATATCCAGTGCCCAACGAAAACTCACTGTGTCTGGCATTCAGTTCAAACTTACCAGGAATACAAAGAAGTCAGAATATACAACCCATAATGAGGAGGAAAGTCAATCAATTGAAACTGACTCGAACTGAGACCAATGTTAGAATTAACAGACAAGGACACTAAGATAATTATTATAACTGTATTCCATGTGTTCAATATATTAAGTAAGGATAAGAAATATTTTCATTTTTTTAAAGGAAGCTTCTGTGAAGCCAGAAAGCCTCAGACAATCAAACTTTAAGATAGGATGAAAACTACACTGGATAGGAATAACAAGAAATTAGATACTTCAGAAGAAAAGAATAGTAAACTTGAAGAAGTAGCAATAGCGATTATCAAAAATGAAACAAAAAAAAGAGAGAAAAGAATGAACAAAAATAAAAAGCATCGTGAGCAATGGGCCAACTTCAAGTGGCCTAATATGTATGTAATTAAAGTCCTTGAAGCAGAGGGGGAGAAAAAGAGAAACCCCAAAAATGCTTTAAAAAAAAGACGGCCAAAAATGTTTTTAACTGGTGAACACCATAACCTCACAGATCCAAGAAGCTCAACAAACCCCAAGAATAAGATATATTACTTGAACTGTCAAAATACATCATAATCAAATTGATCAAAACCAGTGATAAAGAGAACACCTTAAGAGCAGCCAGGAAAAAGTGGGTGGGATTGGGGAGAGGGAGAACATGTTACATTAAAATAAATAAATAAGGATGAGAGCAAATTTCCCAACCAAAACAAAGCAAGCAAGAACACAATGAAGCAACATCTTTAAAATACCAAAAGGAAAAAAAAAATCTGTTGACCTAGAATTCTATATCTAGAAAAAATAGTTTACAAAAACTGAAGGCAAAATACTGTGAGTATTTTTTTATTAATTCTCATCTGAGGATATGTTTTTATTGATTTTTAGAGAAAGAGGAAGGGGGAGAGAGAGAGAGAGAGAAACATTAATGTGAAAGTGACACATTGATTGATTGCCTCCCGTACAAACCCCAACTGCAGATAGAACCTACAACTTTTCAGTATACGGCATGATACTCCAGCTAAATGAGCCACCCAGCCAGGGCAAAATAATATGTGTGGGTGGTTTTTGGTTTTTTGGTGGTGGTGGGTTGTTTTTTTTTGAGACATGTGAAACATGCAAAAGCT